GCAAGCTTGTAGATCCAGAAACTTTTCCTCTTTATTCCTCATTTCCAGGTATAAAGTTTATACCTTGATAAGTTTACCATTAGCTATATATGGTTGAAGTTTAATGAAATTTTGTCCCAGAGATTGGATCTTAATGAGTTTGGATCACTCCAAGGGCTTGTAGTTCTCCTTTCATGCATTATATGACTTGTAGAATCATTAAAATGATTGTTTGATCATTCATATGGCTCATGCATGAGCAAAATAGCTTAGAATGTGTTGAAAGTTTAAGTGTGTTGCATTGGGACTTTTATAGCCATACAAAGGCTTAAAGTCGGTGACTTTATGGAATAAGACATCATAGAATGGTCAGATCTATGTTTGGGTTAGTTGTCTTAAGGGATTAAGGCACAAAGTTGGTGGAAGTGGAAGCAGACAGAGTACATTGTGCGTACTCTTAGCTACGCCCCGCGTAGCCGCTTCCGACCCCAACCATATGTGGTTCAAGTTGTACGCCCTGCGTAAGAAGAGGTACGCTCAGCGTACTCACTGGGTAGTTAACTTTTGTTGACTTTTGACCTTTGGTTAGGATTTAGGTTTTGGACCATGGGAAAGGAAAAAATGTTCTTTTTCCCTTAGAGGACATAGTTGTGGGATTGGACTAGCCAATTGAGTTTTGGACCTTAATTATTAACTAGGGTTAATTATTTCGTTGATTAGGCAGAGTCTAGTTCTGGCAGTTCAGGTGTGAGGTTTACTTCTCGTCAGTATCAGGTGAGTCTCCTCACTTATTCTTACCATGTATGGTAGTATAGATGTATATGTGATGACCAGCTAGGTCTAGCTGTTATTATTATGTTATTCTGTTATTATGTGGTTGGGACTGTTGATAATATCCAGGGTTGCTGATAACCTGCAGGGCATGCTGTTAGCCCACTGGGATTGTTGATAGTCCCTAGGGTTGCTGATAACCCATAGTTGTTTATTTATATTGTGTTGTATGTGGTATCTTGCGGAAATCACTAAGCTTTGTGCTTATAGTTGTTGATTTATATGTGGTGGGTACTTCTAAGGACCGCGTGAAGGCAAAGGTCTGATTGTACACACTCGCTGAGGGATTTGCTACTGTGACAGTTATTAACTTTGATATTTTGTGATACTGGTTGTTTTCGGTAATTATGTATTTGATAACTTGGTTTGTGAAACCTTAATTATTGGTAAATTAAAAATGAAATTTTTTGTCTAAAGTTTTAAGTGTTACATTAATCTTCTAAATTAATTAGGAAAATCTCGAAATTAATGGCTTAATCAATGGTTTTCAAAACTAACATGATTTGTCAATCTTACTATAATCACCCACTAAGATTCTCTTTTTCCATAATGAAACTAATTCAAATTTCCGAAGACCTTTTGGGGCGCTACCCCTCAACCTCGCCTACTGACCGGTAGGTTGGACCACCGCCAGGGGCTCTGCGTCTTGGAGCTCACTAGGGGCATTGCCCTTAGGACCTTACAAAGGGGGAGCAACCCCTTTAACCACCACATCACGGAAAATATAATATAGAGTACAAACAATAAGCCACCTAGCTCACATATCAGCTCCAATTACGCAAAATGTTTGGTGACACTAAAAATCACATACATATATTTTGGCTTTGTTAACGTTTTATGATAATTTTTTCTACATTTGTTGTTTTATCATCTCGAATAATATTGTTAGAAATTTGGAGTATAGAAAGGCTTGGAAATTCTGAGAATTGTGGTATCACTTTCAGATTAAAGTATTTGGGTGGTACTACCAATCTTTAATCGAATAAGACTCGAAAATTGAGAGCAAGAACAGAAAATCTGATTGTTATGAATTTCGAATGTACCATCAAATGAAGACCAAAATTAGTTAAATACTTTTTCCATCAGAAAACTATCACAAGACAGTTGTATGTTTGAAAACTGTCACTAATCCCGGTTCTTTCTATAAGGGTCAAAACAAAGTCAAAAACCGATTTATTTTCAAAAATTCAGATTTTTGATGTATTTGGGTGGTACTCCCAGCTATGGGCTCTGCCCCTTGGACCCCACTCCCAGGGGCACTGCCCCCCGAACCCCTATTCGTTCACGCGCTTCGCCACTAAATGACAGTTTACTTTGAATCTTGAATAAACTTAAACAAGTGTGCACTTTGCACCTTCCTTGTTTAATATTCATCAAGATTGATTTTGGTCAACAAATCAATCAGTTACACTTAAATACACATTGATGATAAAAAAAAAATAAAAAAATAAAAAAATAAAAAAAAAATCATCAACAAATATATCTTCAATTATTAAGCCTAAAACAACGGAATTTCATACTATTTAGCATCAACGCTTACTTTATTCACGTGCATTGTGGTATTCAAATAACTAATACATATGTCACGATATCAAGAGGTCTTTTGATTTAAAATAGCCGACATAAAATATGCATGACATAGATACATGAAAAGTCGAATACGAAGACCAGGATAATTCAAACATTTTGAATTATCATGAAAACATGAAACATTTGTAAAGTGTGTTGCATATTATTAATTCGAAGGAACTTAATATTGTAATTTACAACGTTGAATAAATAATGCTGATGTTTTGTTTATGGTTTGTAACTATATTTCATGATATTTTCTATATTGTAAATGTAAAACAAAATATTTGTATTACGAATGCACGATCAAAGTAATGTTGAATCTTTGATGTAACACAAAGTATTATTGACATCAATGACTGAAATATCTACCCTTTATAACAAATGTAGCAATGAGACATCTCACTCTTGTCATTTTGGCTATCTACCGGTGAAACCGTCTTTTGAAAATCAATATGGTGTGTTTAATATGTATGCTACTGTCACTAACCAAGCTTTGTAAGCTATGTATCGTTTAATATCACCAGTTTTGTATTATACTTTGTCGTGTAAACCCATGTGGAACCTATTGCTTTCTTTCCAGGTAGTAAAGTAGCAGTCAATGTTGTAATGTTGAAGATCTACTGGAATGATGGGTGTTTATTTGGTCTTGTATCACATTGATGTCTTTTGTTGTCTGGTTGGGTTATGATATGGATGATCCAGCGTCTAACTCACTTGTAACAAACCTATTTGGAGTGTAGGATGACTATATTCATATAAGATCATTTTAAAAAAGATTATATGTCATATGTGGTACCTCATTTTTGTTTTATTCTGATTTTTTTAGAAATGTGTTTCTTAATCTATACAATTCATCTTAAATGAGACTTGAAGCCTCAACCTTTGGCTAAGGGCATATATCCATCAAATCTTGAATATTTCGTCTCTAATGGAACTTAAACCTTTAACCTATGACCGAGGGCATCTATCAATCATCTCCTGATATTGTTAGGTCAAAGGAGATTTGGTTTCAAATTTTAGTGGAAAATGGTTGTAATTGGATTGGTGTGTAATCTTTGATAGGTTTGATTTTTTTTTCTTTACGTCACACACACACCTTATGGCGTCCTTTTCTTAACATGCAAGATTAAAATATACATTATTGCTTCCATGAAGAGAGACTAATGGTTGATGTATGAAATCTCATAAAAAGGTACAAGGTTCATACATTTCATGTCCAAAATAATATTAGTACTTCACGATTTACCCCTTACATAATGGGCTTTGGAGTTGGTTCGATATGGGTAAATACAAAAAGTGGGGTGTATCCAATTTTTTAAATATAGATTATTCAATTTCATCTTCTAGCTATGAAAACCTTCATATCACATCAGTTTAGTTATCATTATTCCAATACATCAATATGCAAAATAATATACATCATCAGTATGCAATAACATAAGTTGTGATCACGACCTATACACATAATATATCTAAAAACTCATAACATCATCCAAAAAGTAAGATGTGTTTGGAGTGTGAGTACTCAATTGAACAAAGTAAAGTGATATACTTACAAACTTATAGATGTAACAAGTTCTATTTTTCATCAGTCTTGTTTTCGAAACAAAATAATGGTTTATGGAATATTTTAATATAATGAAGATCCTACATCTTTGATTTCCACAAATGATAGTTTGATCCATAATCATCCTGGAAACATGTGTCTCCGTTATTAATCACAAGTCCAATAACTACCAAGCATTAATACTATCTTGTTGAGCAGATTAAACAACGATACCACTTTGTTTGAGGGAGATATCAACACAATTAACTGCCAAATATATTCTCCCCCACTTGTGATAATGCAAGACACCAAGATTTTTAACATGGAAAACTTCCTCAAAACAAGGAGTAAAAACCACGGGACCAAATCCACTAGCATAAAAATCAGAGAATACATGAGAGTTTTTTTCTAGTACAAATTATATACAAATCACCAACTGGTACTCAAGGATAAAATAAATCTTGAATCAAAGATGAAGAAACGAGTTTCCTGGTAAACAATACCAACTGTCTGTCGAACAAAAACTAATGTCGAATTCTTTGAAGACACCAACATTGATCTCCACCATTCATATTGTATACAATCCAAATTTAATGAAAATCCAGTGGTTAACGAATACGCAACGGCGATTACAATCCACCGCTCATATTGTCGGAAAAAAAAGCTACAATATTTAAATAAAAAATGTTCGACGACACAATCTTTGACATTTGTGACAAATTTATAAATTAAGATTATAGTAATAACCGTTAGAGTTATTTATATAGATATGAAAAAAAAAATCCTAATATTGTCCATATGTCAGATTTTATAAAATATTATTTAATACAATAGCATTTATTTCTTGGGGAAAAAATTATGGCAGGTCTTCAATTATTTTAATTAAAAAAATAAAATGAAAATTTTCATTTAAAACAGAGTTTACTTCCATCAATTTTATATGTTAAATTTTTTTATCCTAATTCTTAGGTATAACTTTACGATCAAAGTTTGTTTGTTATATATATATATATATATATATATATATATATATATATATATATATATATATATATATATAATATATATATATATATATATTTGTTAATTATCTATAATAAAATCATAAAATTATTGAAAAACTCTTTTAAGTTTTTTTTTTAAAAAAACAGTTTAATTAGATTTTAGTTTATTCTAACAGTTTGCAGTTTGCAGATGTTAAAAAACAATCTTCTTTCAGATTGCCAGATGTTTGAACACCTAACTCTATATCATGTTATCGTCTTCACTGATGAGATACATTTACTGATGAGATACATTTACCGGGCAAAAACAAATCTATATTTCGAATCAATGTGATACATCGATAGTTTCAAGGCCCAAGATATAACCCTGCAAGGCCAGGGTAATTACTAATTCCTAACCATGAATCTGCATTATTACCAATAATATGTAAGCCAAAAAAAAAAAAGGATACTAATAATAAACACCATCTCATCCCTACAAAAACATGGTCAACAACGTGGAAGTCCACCACCCACCACCATCACCACCACCACCTGCCGCCTCATTCAAGATTGACCCACCTCCAGCACCACTGGCTCGAAGGCAGCAAACCATAATGAACCACAATCTTCCAACTTGATGAGGCCTCTGATAAAGATACTGACCTAAATATTCCACAAATGCCTACTCATCTTAGGATGCTCAGAGTCACAGGGTCTATGTCTGCTACTAATGGCTGCAAGCACTCTTCTGGATTTGCATAAAAGTAATCTTCTTCTTTTGGTCTTTCGGGAACAACTTTTCTTTTTTTAGGGCTCCCCATTCGTGCCATGTGTGCATCCTTCACAGCACTTGAGAATTCCTCCCAACTCAACAACCCACTCGTGTATCCGTCTATCAATTCAACCAAAAGCTTTCTATCCAATAATATCGTCTTCTTGAAACCCAAGTATCTATAAAAATAAAAAAATAAATAAAATAAAATAAAATAAAAAAAGATTCAAGCTTTCTTTATGGGTCTGTTTGAAATGTTATTGCAAGAAAGATTCAAGCTTCTTTATGGGTCTGTTTGGATCGTTATTGTAAGAACGAATCAAGCTTTCTTTATGGGTTTGTTTGAATCGTTATTGTAAGAAAGATTGAGGCTTTCTTTAAGGGTCTGTTTGAAACGCTATTGTAAGAAAGATTGAAGCTTTTTTTATGGGTCTGTTTGGATCAAAGATTCAAGCTTTCTTTAAGGGTCTGTTTGAATCATTCTTGTAAGAAAGATTGAAGCTTTCTTTATGGGTCTGTTTAAATCGTTATTGTAAGAAAGATTGAGGCTTTCTTTATGGGTCTGTTTAAATCGTTATTGTAAGAAAGATTGAGGCTTTCTCTAAGGGTCTGTTTGTAACATTATTGTAAGAAAGATTGAAGCTTTCTTTATGGGTCTGTTTGGATCAAAGATTCAAGCTTTCTTTAAGGGTATATTTGACTCGTTCTTGTAAGAAAGATTGAAGCTTTCTTTATGGGTCTGTTTGAATCGTTATTGTAAGAAAGATTGAAGCTTTCTTTAAGGGTCTGTCTGAAAAAAAGATTCAAGCTTTCTTTGTTGTAAAAAAGAAAGCAGAAAGAATGGTGAAAAAGATACCTGCGATGGCCTTCTACAACTTTGGCCATGTTCCCATCATAAGTAGGGATAAAAATGTCACTTTCTAATGATACAAGATAGTCCAATGCTGCCATTTGTGAAGAATGGTTCTGGAAAAATTGTAGGTCATCTACTCCTAATAAGGTCTCTTTTCTAACCTGTTAGAGCACATAAATGATGTTTAAAAAGTATTTGAGAAAGCACGGGTAAATTTGTAAAAGGTAAGGACTTAATGAAGAAGAAAGCTCCTCTTTCCTGACTTTTTCTTTATTCAGTCGTTCTCTATTCATTAAACGCTTTTTGATTTACTTTTTACCAAATAATCACATAATTTGATTAACAAATTTACCATTTTTGATTTTTAACTAACCAGCTTTGGAAAAGCGGCTGCAAGGCTGGCCATTCTCCTTTGACCACCATATATTTCACCAGCCGCCACATAAATCTGAATGTCACTAGCAATGTCAAGTGCCCTTAGAGTAAGGGCAGTTTCCTCAGGAGTCAAAGGGCATAACCCATCTTTTCTTTTCAACTCAGAGTTAATAATCTTTTCTTTCCACCATGGGTATGCATATCTGCCAAAAAATAACTTACAATGAGGACAAGGAGGGTATTCATGTCTTTTGTACACCAAACACAGTACAACCTTGTTATTAAGTCTTGTCATGTGTTAACTAACGGGGCCTACGAAAGAAAGAAGGTCAAACCTCATTCTGGTCAACTCATCCACCTCATCAGGATTGCATCCTTGAGTGCATCCAGAAAAAGCTAACATATCCATTTCATATCTAAGATGTAGCACTAGAAAAGGCCCGTTTTTTCTCAAAAGTTGCACCACACGCCTACCCAAGTATTCTATCTGAGGGGTAAATCTCAAAGCATTGAAATTTACTCGACACCTTAGCTTCTGAAGTTCTAGGGGTTGACCATTATTTGCAAGACGAGCATCTGTTCTATTCAAATGCACAACTTTGAATTTCTTAATCAAAGGAAGAATCTGCAACAAGGTAAGGACAAAATTGTAACTATACCCTACAAAAACTTCAAAAAGAAGCCCTAGACCTATAGGCCATTGTATACCGTTGTACAGTCTGTGTATCTGATTTACATCTCACATGATACTTTGAGGATGGACAGTGTGGGCTAGGCTCAGGGGTTGCTGAAAGAATAATACCTGGTTATGATAATAAGAAATATCGGACCAGCTAACAGGAGGCATGGTATGCACGTATCCCAATTCCATTCTCTTTTTAAGCCTTGGAGGAAGTTGCTTAAGTATCCGGACCTCATCTCTCAATGAAGTAATGAAATGATCGACATCAAAAATGTCCTCAAACTCACTGAAAAATTCACGATTTTTGGTTAAAATCAAATTCAAATCAAGAAAGTTCTCAATTTGACATAATTCACCATACCTTGGATCAGCCCAGAATGATGTTTTATCGAGCTCGGGAACTATAAGTGTAACATTCAAAAATCTTGAAATTGCAACCATGTCACAAATCTACAAGATGAATAAATTATAGAAACAATAAGAAAGTAAATAGGAAATTGATCCGTTTTGGTTAAAATTCATAAAGAATACACTCACTGCAGAACGCATTTGATTGAGTCCTCCGTTGCATGAAACCATTAGGTAACCATTGTTTTGGTAAACCCCTACATTCAATACCAAATAGAAACAAACATTAAAATTGAAAAGGACACCAAGTAATTGTCAAATTCTAAGGAAAGCCAACTAATTGTCTCTTGTTGGTGTTAGTTCTATAAACCCTTTTAAAGAAATAATAGAAATGCCACAAATGAAGAGATGATCATCATATTTTGTCATGTACTTATCACAATTTAGAAAAATCCAAGAAATACCCATAAAAAGGTTTGGGATTCATAGTACAATCATGATTAACAAGTGTCGGAATTCACGTTTACAGTCATCATGAATATCAAAACTGAAAAAACATGAAGAAAGAAACTCACTCTTGGGAGGAAGAACCCTAGCAGGACCACTGGGCAAAAACTTGACATCTAAAAATTGGGAATCTTGAGTGACAGAAGAAGGCCAACCTTTTAAAACCCTAGGTCCCCATGTATCCCCTAAAGCTGTCAACTGAACCAAACAAGTCCACAACAACACCATTGTTGTGGCCCTAATTATCCACAACTTCATTTTCGGAGACCTTGCATTTGCCTTCAATTTTTCTACTCTACTCTCCCCTAATGTCTTCAATCCCATTGCCCTGATCTTAACTCCAATTCCAATTCCAATTCCAATTCCAATCCCAAACCTCTTTCTCTTATCTCTATCTTCTACGCTGTACATATCACTCCCATTCATCAACTACCACCACCAAACCCTTAATTATATTGTCGGTGCAACAAAAGGGACGTGTAGGAAGGATCTGAATTGGCGAGGAATTCAAGAACGGATAATGCTTTCGAGATCCTAGAATTTGTAAATACAGGAAACGGTAATTAAACGCGATCCAACTAGAATTCAATTGCACACTTACCTACCAAAAACGAGACAACAATTTACAAGTTTTAATTAAATCTCAGGGGAATATGTACCAAGATTTCTTTCTTACACAAAACCCTGTGATTTTGAATAACACATTTAGAAGGAAGATCATAAATCCAAAAGCACCGTTCGATCTCAAATGGGCATTAAGGAAATTCTATTCGTCAAATGATATTTAACAGCCACCGACAACGACAAATTAAGAAATTTAGAATCCGCTAAAAAAATGAGGGAAATATTGAGAAAAATGGATGCTTGTGGGCGGCAGTTTTGAAAGGGTAGAGGTAAGGAGGTGGCGAAAGTAGCCAACGACGGTGGAGAGATAGACGACGAGAAAAAGATAAAGAGGAATCGCACGGGGCGGTCTTCTGTATTTGTGTGATGAGAGAGAGAGAGAGAGAGAGAGAGTACTGAAATTGCAAGGGTTTTCTTTTTTTCCTTTATATACCAAAAGGAAGGATCACTCGGGCATTTATGTTGTCAAATATTTAGAAACGGGTTGTCCGTATTGTTCCCTGTGAGGGCGATTTTTTTTCGACAATAATTTTATTAGAAACAACCCCTGAATAGCGATCTAGACGGGTCCGGATCCGGTACAAGAATTAGGATATTAACGGGCTCGGGAATCGGATCGATATAAATAAAGGGTTCGGATCTTGGTTAAATAGATTTAGCATCGGAAATATCAAAGTGAGTAGGGAGGTGGGTGGAATCGGGTCTCGAAATTTAGACCCGGGATATCTAAAAAATCGAAAATTTGCTTGGTTTTAGTTTGTAAGGAATTGTTTGGTACTTTTTACTTGTAAGCGGGGGTTGAAATCGGTTCATGCAAGACTCAAATATTGTATGTCAAATCCTAAGCATCAACTTTTATTAAACCAATATCATGTTTCGAAGCATCATGTTAAACTTGTAATGATGGATAGAGATATCATATATGTATATTGTTCTTTAAATTGTCATAGATGTGGTTGTGGTTGAAGAATGTTCACTTAAATTGCTACTTAGAATCAAACAAAAGATGTTGAACCTTTAAGTATGGATCATTGGTTTTGACTTTTGTATCTTTAATTTTAAATAATGTATATGGCTTTTGATTTTGAAGTGCATGGAAAAGTTAAGAAGAAAACCGAATATCAAGCTTTTTAAATAATATGGTGTGGTTACTAAGGGGTTGTTTGATAATGAGCTGACTAGTTCGATCTGCAAATTGGTCCGGTTAGGCCATTTGGTAGACCCCTAAATTGAAATTGGTTGACTCGGTTAGCTATTAGCAATAGCTGACCAATCTCCTGATTCTGTATGTGCAAAAAAAACATAGTTGACTGGGAAAGAAACCCAATTGCCCTTATTTGCCCTTCGTTCTTCCTGTTTGGTCCATGGACCTCTCCTCTGCAGCTCTCCTCAAACCTATCACTCTCTCAAACTACTCTCTCAACTTTTCTTCAAATCGATGATTGAAGGGTGGATTTAATCGATTCCATGATTGAAGGGTGGATTTCAATCGATTCCATAGTGTGCATGTTAATCGATTTCATAATCTTCTTTTGTTTGGTTCCTCATACGATCTTTCCCTCTCACTCAAGCCCTGTGATTTGAAGAACACGATTCTTTGTTGCACTGCATCTAGGCTCGTATTATCTCTTTTCTCTCTCCGCCTCGGTTTATTTTGCAATCGGACTTCGGTGTTAGTTTCATCGGTCTTTGGACCCTCACTTTTCTCCCCATAAAATCCTTCAAATCTTCTTTGTTTTAGTTTTTGTTCTTTTTGGTTTGATTTTTGGTTTTGGTAGTAAACTCGAGGTATCCTTAATATTTGGTTGTTTGATTCTTATAGTGAACATAAAACAAGAGTTCTATAAGCAAATATTTGACTATTATGTTCCTGATTTTTACAGATTTCTGATTAGCTGTGAACAGTTGCTGAGATTTTCGATTTTCTTTGAATTATTGTTGAGAGGGATATCTACAGTGTGGATTGTTGTTATAATTTGGTGTTTGGCACCGTGCAGTGCTTTAAATCTTTACTCCAAAGGGAAATGTTAGCTGATATAAAAGATTATGTAAAGCATAATACAAAATTGAAAAATATGCGAACCAAGCTAGATAAAGGCCTCAATGAGAAGAAGTTTGTAGATTATGTAATTGTTTTTTCTCATTCCTTACGTTTAAGGTTTTTTGCTTTCCTACACAATGAAGAACTTTCCATTTTGTATAATTGAATCTAATAAGGTAAGCTATCATTTTCGAGATGATAAATCTAAGAGGGTGTATCAGCACTTCAAGTTAAAGTTGTTGCAGAAGAAATAAGTTACATTATTTGTGTAACATCCCAAAAATTAAGACTAAAAATTTCGATTTTTAAATTAATTAAAACCATTATCCAAACAACATCATAGAAACCATAGTGAATCAAAGTGTATCAATAACATCCAAATACATCATAGTGATATAAAAATGCGGAACGACATGGTGTGTGCACTACAATCATCCCGAACTCTCTCCCTTCAAACCGTACCTGAAACATAAAGTGAAAACCGTAAGCACAAAGCTTAATGAGTTCTCCAAAATACCACATATCATACATATAAAACATATAATGGGTCCCACTCATTATCGATCCCAGCCCGACATCCCCCCCCCCCTCACAGCGAGCCTCACTCAGTAAACAGATTTGTCATCCATCAGGCCCTGGCATCAGGCCCCACCCGGTATACATATAAACATATAATCATATAAACACATGTAATAATCAAAAAGATAATAACATACAAAATACTCATCGGGCCCCGCCCGATAAACATATAAACACAAAACACATGCAAGAGTCACGCAGACAACTAGCATCCTAACATATCAAACATGAGTCGGCGTTGGTTCCTTCGACTTACTAAACACAGTGAGGAAACTCACCTCTAGCTACTAAATCTCCTAAATAAATATCGGTTTACTGGTCCAGAAAATCCCCACATTAACATCATTAAATAATATCCAATTAATAATTGGATCTCGACCCATAATCAACAATCTAAGCTACTTGTCCAATATCCAGGGTAAAAGACCATTTTACCCTTTTCTTACTTGGCCCAAAACCAAGGCCCAACCCATTCGCTCCAAATAAATGGCATCACAAGGCCCAATAAGGCCCAAATTCCAAATTGGGCCCAAAAATCATCATGGACCTTATCCCAAGAAAGTACATAGTTTATCCATGGCCCAAAGTCACAAGTCCAATGGCCCATTAAGGCCCAAATCCATAAAAACCCAAGATAAAGCCCAAAAAGTCAAACCAAAAGTCTACATGCTGAGTACGCGGGGCATACTCAGTTCATATGCTTAGCGTACTCCTTTCGGGGTCAATACGCGCAGCGTACCAGCTGGGTACGCCCATCGTACTCCCCAGCTTACCAAACCAACCCATTAAACACTTAAATGGTTAAGCCAACATGCTAAACTATCATATATGGTTCTAAGTGGTGACTTAATACGTAAAGTTGGCAACTTTACATCCTTGCATGACTTAATGGGCCCAACACTCAAAAAGAAGCTTAATAAGATTCTTAATACTTGCATGGACCAATACCTTACATAAAGTTTTCATTTTTATGACAATGGACCTCAAATGAGCAAATATCTAACATCCATACCTTCTGGAGTAGACCATAACTTCATATATTACTTAAAAGACCCAAAAAAAATTCCTAAATAACACCATAAAATGGATCTACCGCAAAGGACCATCAAGATGAGAACTTTTTACCTCAAAAGGCTTGCTAAGGTGAAGATAACTTTAGATCTACAGGCTCAAGCTACTCCCAAGCAACCTCCAAGTGTTCCTTTTCTTCTTCTTCACCATAAAACACCAACAAACTCACTTTCAAGCTCAAATCTCACCAAATACACTTAGGTTTTCAACATTAGGGTATGGGATGATGGAGGTTAGTCAATAGAGTGTCAAAAGGTGGTTTAAGATGTTTAAATAGGGTGCAAACCCTAAAAATTAGGGTTTGCCCCTGCACCACGTACGCCATGCATACTCCATGTATGCATCGCATACGTGGGTGAATCTCTCATCCAGAAAAAAGAGCTAGTACACTAAGCGTACTCATAGAGTACCCCCACATACTAGTTGGGGACCAAAGTGATAAGGATTTTGCATTAACTGGCAAAAAGGAAACTTACCAAATTACGAATGTTACAATTCTCCTCCACTTGAATCAGCCTTCGTCTTTGAAGTCCACTGCCCCCAAACAACTCTGGGTAGTGCTCCCTCATCTCGTCCTCTGCCTCCCATGTCCAGTATGAACACTTGTGATGCTGCCACTGAACTTTCACCAATGCAACAACCTTGTTCCTCAAGGTTTTCATCTTCCTGTCAAGAATCGCCACCGATCTCTCGATATGATCATCCACCTGAATATACTCCAATGGAACCACCTTGGAATTTTCCATTAAACATTCCTCAACTGAGAGACATGAAATGTGCTATGGTTCTGATTAAGCTCCTCGAGGATATCCAAGCGATAAGCAACCCGACCCACCCAGGCCAAAACCCTTAAAGGACCGATGTACTTGGGGCCCAATTTGTCGCTCTTCCAGAATCAGATGACACCTTTCGAATGTGATACCTTCAAAAGAACCATATACCCAAACTGGAACTCAAGATCTGATCGGCACTTGTCGGTATACCTCTTCTACTGGCTCTGAGTTGTCTGGAGTCTACTCTGAACCTATTGAATCAACTTGGTAGTCTTGAGTACTACTTCGATACTCCCCATGACTTGCTGACCGATATCACCCCAACATATTGGGGTCCTGAATTTCCTCCCATAAAGCATCTCAAAAGGAGGTCGATCAATGCTGGTGTGATAACTATTGTAATACGAAACCCTGCCAAAGGGAGATACATCTCCCAGCTCCCATCGAAATCCAAAACACACGCCCAAAGCATATCCTCAAAGGTATAAATAGTCTGCTTGCTCTGATCGTCTGTATGCGGGTGGAAATCCGTACTGAAATGCAGACGAGTACCCAGCTCGTCGTGGAACCTCTTCCAAAATATGGAAGTAAACGAGATGTCCGTATCTGAAACCATAAAAACCAACACCTCATGTCGTGCCATGGCCTCCCGGATGTAAATCTCATCCAACTTCTTCGTAGAGATACTCTCCTGAATTAGAATAAAATGTGCGCTCTTGGCTAATCAATCTACGATGACCCAAATCAAATCCACTCCGGGAACAGTTCGAGGCAACTTCGTAATGAAATCCATGGTGATCTCCTCCCATTTCCAAACAAGGATATCTAATGGTTGCATCTTGATGTGAGGCCGCTGATGCTCGGCCTGGACTTTCCTGCAAGTCAAGAACCTCTTCACGTACCAAGCTACATATCGTTTTATACAGGGCCACCAATAACCAAGACGAATATCT